CTATTAGAATAGCTAAAATCCAAAACACTAACAATGCCAACTGTTCACAAAGATTGGGAGTAACAGAAACTCTCATTCACTACTGGTGGGAATGCAAAATGGTACAGCCACTTTAGGAGACAGTTTGGCAATTTCTTATAAAGTTAAACATACACCTATGGCCAGTTCCAGATTTATGTGAAAGTCAAGTATCCTGCCATTCAAAGAAAAGCAGTGACCATTTTGCTGCAGTTTTCAACTTCTTACATGTATAAGCAAAGCTTCCCTTGTTTAACAGGTTTCAAAAGGAAGGCCAGAAATCTCATTTCAGTTGAAAATGAAATCTACATAGGCTTATTTCAATTATGACCTAGAACTGAGTATTTATGTGGCAAAATATAAGCATAGGTATCACAAAGAAGAGGTAATTTATTAATTTATAATAAGGAATAATAAATTATTTATTTTTAGTGTTAAAAAAGAATATTCTTATGTATATACAGACCTATAAGGAGATCAAGATTACAATAATTTTTTAACGGCCTATATTTGAACCTGATCGTGTCAGTCAGTAAAAAACTTAATTTTTAAGGCTCACATCATATTGTGTATTAGGCTATATTTTTATTCATATTGCTTTGTCATATGGTTTTGGTAGCTTATTTAACATTGTCAATATATTTTCATGTTGTAAGTAGCATTAATTAAAATGAATTTACAACCTTTATTAAATTAAATCAACTGAGTCTACTTTTTGAAAAAGTTAATCCCATCTTGGATTAAAACAGTTATTTAACATAAATGTATTACGCCGCTTTATAAATTTTTAAATGTATGAAAAGAGAAGTAAGCTAAGCTTACCTACCTGTTTGTTTCTCAAGAAAAGCAAACTATAATCCATTTTTAGTTTTAAATAGGGGAGAAAACTACTCTTGCACATACATGTATAAGGGAAAAAGAAAAAAAATCAAGCAGGAAATTTTACTATAAGAAAAAAAATCCTAAGTTTTATTCTACTACACTCTCACTTGCATTAGGGTTGATATCTTTTGTGGCAATGGGAAACCACACAGAGTAGGCAAATAAGTTGACAAAAATCAACAAATCTACAGAAAACTATTATTCTTTACTAAAATGAGACATTATCATTGGATCATTATATCTGCAACTCATGGATCATACAAACATATCATGGGCTACAGAAACCATTTTTATTCAGGAGTTCCCTGAGATATGTAAACCACTTCAAAGTTTCTTCTGGAGTAAAAAGATTGAGATTTGGGGTGATGTAAATGTCTTGGAACTCGTTAGAAGTGACAGTCGCAAAATACTGTGAATGTACTAAATGTCACTGCATTGTACTCTTTTAAATGGTTAACGGTTAATAGGATCTGTTGAGGCTTCTTGAACAGTGAGAGACTAAACTGGTCTTGAAGGAAGCTGAAGATCCGAAATTTAAAACAGGCAAGAATTTGTGGAGCTGGCTCTATTGAGACTGGTTTTCAAACTGACTGCAACCACAATAACAAACAGATTTGGGTACAACCCAGTTCACATACACACATGTGATGCAAACAAAAGTTCATGGAACAATGCTTACTTACCCTTCCCAAAAATAATATACTCTGATTTTCATTCTATTGTATTCCTTTTTTTAAAAAAAAATGTTGGTCATGATTTACTAAATTGATCTCACAAAGTGAGTGGCAAACTCTAATGGCCTCAGGTGTCAGGTTAAGAGGTTGAGACCTAATGCAGGTCATTTTAAGGCAATGAAATTGGACACTAAGAACATAACCAGGAATCGGTAGGCAGAATTTTAGATTGGGAAAACCCTCCATCTTGTAAAGAAAGTGATTATGATTATATTTGCCGTTGAGCTAAATTTAAATTGATTTATCTAACATCACATAATGAAGTCAATATGTGTACTATGTATTACTCAGTGATTTTCTCTTTCAGTTGTTTATCATTTAAATCGCTGGTAAATTTCTCAAAGAATGATTTTCCCTATATATTAATATGTAGGCTTATATTAGTGTAGATCAAAATAAATGTAAAGGTATTATCCACACCTTTTTGTAAGAAAGACAGATTCTGAATTTGTTTTATTTTACTGTTGTGAATTCAATTTTTTTCTTCTTAATGGACTATTTATAATAAACCCTCTGAAGATGTGCTCCTCATTATTCATTAGAGGCTTTCAGGATCAGCTACATAACCATCTGTCCAAAATGCTGGAGAAAGGATTCTCAGCTTTGGCTGGAAGTGTCTCTTTTAACTTTAATATCCTACCATTTTTGACAATATGCTTGAGATTCTCTTAATCAATACAAATCCAGCATATAATTGTTAGAAAGAGATACTGTGTATCTGGAATTCAGTTGTGATCTTTCTCTAAGGTTTTCAATTAATTCACATCAAATTTAATGTCATCAGTGGCACAAATGCTTATATTTTAGAAAGCACAATATTTCTTGTATTTCAGAGATAGAAGTATAGGTTACACATCACCTAGCTAAAGGCAGAAACCAATCTATTGCTCAAGACTACCAGCAGTTAATTAAGGGGGAACAAGTTCCTTTTTAATTTGAGAAAAAGCAGTAAAAGTTAGCTTGTGTTATAATTTTAAACCCAAACAGCCAGTAATTATGCGATCTCCAGGAGGCCAAGGCTTTTCACTTGATAATTTAATTCAGCAAGCAAGGCTCTGTAACTGGGGTGGGTAAGGGAGGGGAGTGGTAAAAAGGCCAGATTTGGCTTTACTGACTTTCTGACCATTCTATGCCTGACAGCATTCAATCTTTTAACCAAGTACAAGTTCTTAAATTCTTAAAATAGTATTAATTTTATGGCAACACATAGCACATTTAGTCCCAGGACTGGTGCCACAATTTTTTAAACGCAGCCACCTGATTTGGGCACATACTATGATATCCAATATATAAAACTTAATTACAGTTTCAGCTCTCCCAGAAGTAGAATCTAAAACTAGCCAATCTCAAATCTCCTGGTCAGCATTAGTTCGGTAATCTGCTTGATAAACCCTTGCCAACTCCCATAAGAAAGTAACCTTGCAATAACCAATCCGCTTTTAGAAAACTCTTCTTAATAAGCCCAAAACAAATCTCTGTCAAGATTAAATGTGTATATAAAAGTCATATTCATACAATGGAATACTACAGAGCAATGAAAATGTACAAACCACATTAACAAACCTGATAAACATAAGGTTGAGCTAAAAAAAAAGAAAGCCAGTTACAATAGAATAAACACAGGACATTTCCACTGACACAAACTTCAAAAGCAAGCAAAATCTAACTATAGTGATAACAGCCAGGATAGTAGTTACCTTTGGAGAGCAGAGAAGAGTTGCCACATAAAATACAAGATGCTCAGTTAAATTTGAATTTTAGATAAACAACAAATACTCTTGCAGTATAAGTAAGTCCCATCCAATATGTGGGATATGTGTTTTTATTTAACACTGAATCTGGCAACTGTAGTCAAGGGGGATGCTTTTGAAGTGTAATATTTTATTTCTTGATATTCATTCAATGATCATCCATTGTGCATGTTTCTATGTGTGTTGTACTTCACAATGAATTTTTTTTTTAAAAAAGGGAAAAGTACACTCAGTATAGCCTTGCAGATTTTAAAATATCACATCCAACCACTGTTTTTCCTAACCACTCTTAATCACTGCATGTGAGAGCTGTGGTACTTCTGCAGGAGGTAGGCATCAGTAACCTGAAGTGTTGCTGGGCCCAAGGCTGTGGGCTCTACTTTCCATTTTTATTACAATTACTTTTACATGGCACACTTCTTTACTTCTGGAATCTTTTGTTATGTGCTGCATCTCAAGGGTCTTTCTTATTTGTGCAGCTGTCTTAATCTTACCAAAGGGTAACGCTAGGTTGGAAGGCAGTCCCTACCCATCAGACAAGAAATGCACAAACCAGTGTTCTAGAAGCAAGTTGGACTGGTCAGCCTGCCTGTAGGGGTCAAAATGCAGTGCACTGAAGCTACAAAGAAAACTAGTACTTTAGGGCCCACAACTTAGACAAAGACACTGTTCAGAATCCATAAAAGCAAATGCTGCCTTTCTAAACTTATCAGAGGTTGATACAAAACCTTGAGTGGCTCCACCTAGTTCCCTCCCATCGGTATACTACTTAACCTTCTTCCTACAGACACAACTGGAAAACTCAAAGAGCAGCAACCAGTGTGAACAAAAGCCTGACTCATTTTTCTGCTGTTGTTTAAATAAGACGCTATTTATTGGCAAAAGTCCTTTCATGCTCAAAGATTTTTTATAGTTGTGTTGTGTTTTGTACCTTCCTCTTGTCTTGAAATGAACCCCTCCCAATTCTAAATTTTAAAAAACTACAAGTTTGAGTGCTTCTCTCAATAAAGGAACCCTTACCTATCTGCCCTCTACCAACCTTTAAAGTTTCAGGTTTCTTCAATTTAATAACAGAAACTGTACTTATCTCTTTCACACAGGGTTATAAGGATAATGATTAATCTCCTGGGCTATGGAATCAGATTTCCAGGAAGAAACCCAGCTTCGCCACTGAAACTGTGTAGCTCTGGCCAGTGAGTGACTCTTTGCTCTGTGACTCAGTTTCCTCAACTGTAAAATGGGAATAAAAACAGTACTCAATACAAAGGGCTATTAGCATTAAGTGCCGTGTAAGGCGATTAAAGTAAAGCGCCTCACACACCTTGAACGCTCAATGATGACTGTTACCATCACTACCACCTGCCACCTTCTAGGGTACTGCCACCTCCAAGGACTGTACTTATGTATCTAATGTAGGAAAGCATCCAGATGCAGCTGGAGAGACAAGGGGAAGGAGAAGCACAGAAAAAGGGTTCCACCAGACTACAAAGTTTGATCCAAGTTTCGTCCAATTCACAGAAGGCGAAGCAGCAGCAAGAGGCCTCTATTAGTGTCCAGGGAGGTGGCCATGCCTGGACCCTAGACCCCGGTCACGACCTCTGACCTCACTACTCACATTGCGGTTGAGGCTGTAGCCGGGAAGCAGAGGCAGGGCCATGGCTCTGAGCATCCAAGGGTCAACCGTCCTAGAGGAAAGGGGGCCTCAGGTAGTAGCCGCCCCGCGGCAGCATTGTTTGACCACCCTCCCTCACCACGTTACCTAGAGACGGGAGACTACGTCACGGAAGAGGGAGGGGCTGCTACGGGGCGGGGAAGGTGCTCTGCGCGGGACCGAAGTGGGGACGAGACGGGGTGGGGGCGGAGCTAGGCGGGTAGCTTCCCGCGCGCAACTCCTACCCAACGCTCTCCCACCCACTCAGCCGGGTGCCGGCCTCCCAGGGCTTTTCTCTCCACACGCTTTGTGCAGATACAAAGACTAACTACAAACTAACCGTTCCCCACCCCGCGCCACTTTCTGTTTTAACTCCTTTACAGAGCTCAAAAAGCCTTTCATAGACTTCAACTCCTCCGTTTCTTACCACATTTTTTGCCATTTGGTTATTAAATTTAGTTCAAATACCCAGAAAAGTGCAGAAAATAATATGACACCCGCGTGCTCACAGAAATTAACACCAGGTAATTTACATTTACATCAGTTTTTATTTTGTAATTAAAACGCTCTGGATGAATCCAAAGCCACACGGACCTCTTCCGTCTTCCCCCACACTCATGAAAACCCATTCAGCGGTAACCACCATCCTCAGTCCACTGTACATTTTTATATTTGAACTAAACATTTTTAAGGTGCTCATTCCTGGTCCAATCATGGTGGCCAGGGGTGGGGGCAGGTGGCACAAAATGTGACCCCTGTCTTTCTGTCATGCACCCAAGGTGCCCGGGCCAGGAGCCTCCATGATTCATCTCCCCACACCTACAGCTAATCCTTCTCGGAGTCCTATTGGTTGGACAGGCGGGTTGATATCTCTCAGTCATCACTTCCTCTGTCTCAGTTGAGGCTCTATTATTTCTTGCGTAGTTTTCTTTTTTAAAAAAATTATATTAAATATAACAACTAACTGATCTTTCCTCCACAGCCATCCTCTGATAATTCATGGTATGCCTATTATACTTCTACTTCAATATTCTTCCAGCCTTTCACCCACCCTCTGCCTTCAGGAGGCAGGCAAACTCCTTAGCCCTGTTAGATCCTATGTCAGGGGACACCTTCCAACGCCCTCCATCCCTTTTTTTGCCCCCATCCTCCATTCCAGCTCTGAGAAACCACTGGCAATTTCCAAACCAGGCTCTGAGGTTTCTTCTCCCTGGGATTTTGAAAATAAAAGATAAAATAAATAAATAAAAACACCCTTCCTTTCTATCTTTCAGCTGGGTTACCCCTTCTTGTCTTTCAGAACTTGATTCAGTGTGGGAAGAGGCATGGAAGGCTTTTTCTAGGAAGTGTTCCTTCACCTCCACTACCACCATCCCCCATCTGTATAAAGTGCCCATTCAAACTGTGACTTTTGTGGTACTGCATTATAATAATGTGTTTACTTGCCTCTCTTCATGTGCCCCCAAATTCCTCCAGGACAAGGACTCTATCTCATTTTTATTCATAAACAACATACATTATTGTTTTCTGTGTTTATAAAATTTACACTATAAATTTCTGCTACCTGCTTTTTTCACCTAAGATTTTGTTTTTGAGATTTCTATATATCAACACATGTAGATATATTCCATTCATTTTAAATGCATTGTATGATTATACTACAAATTAACAACCCATCTGTTGTCATCTGTTGATGTCATCTGTTGATGGCAATTAGGTTGTTTCCAATTTTTCACTAGTTACCAACAATGCTTCAGTGAACAACCCTCTCCTGTTCCTATCGAGATTATCTAGGCTACATTCCCAAAGACGGAATTGTTCACACCTTCAACTTCACTAGATCCTGCTAAACAATCTCCAGAATCATTGAAGCAAAGAAGCAAGTTCCCTTTTGCCTTCATCCTTTCAGTAGTGGGTATTATTAAATAGTATAATTCTAAACAATCATCTGAATAAATGTGAAATGGTATACCATTGTTAAGTTGTTTCTCCCTAATTCCTAGTGCAGTTGGTCATCTTTTCATATGCTTGTTACCTTCTTCTGTGACTCATTGTTCATATCTTTTGCTAATTTTTCTATTTGATCACTTGGAATTTTTGTAATATATCCTGGATACTAATGCTAGGCATAGCAAATGTCTTCTCATGGTTGTGGTTTGTCTTTTAATTCCATTCGTAGAATTCTTCATTGTATATGAATGTGTCCTTTTACTCTACTCAAATAGATCATTCTTTCCCATTATAATTTGCACTTTGTATGTGAATTCAAAAAATCCATAGAACAAAATTATTCTACATGTTCTTACAAATGTTTTTAAATATTTCTTTTTCATTACTTTTTAAATCAAAATAATTTCAAACAATAGAAAAGTTTCAAGAATGGTACAAAGAACTCTTGTTTACCCTTCACCTAGATTCCCCTAATTGTTTTATATTCTGCCATATTTGTTTTATCATTCCTCTCTATATACATTTTTTCCATTTTATAGGAAATAGCAGACATCATGTCCCTTTACCCCTAAATAGTTAAGTCTATATTTACTAATAACAAAGACAGTCTCTTACATAACTGAAACACAGTAACCAAAATTAGAAAATTAGTATTAATGAAATAATATTTTGAAATAATATTTTCTAATCTTAAAATCTCAAATTTGGTCAAGTATCCTAAAAATGTCCTTTTTAGCAAAAAAAAAAAAAAAAGTAATAATAATTTTAAAAATCTGGTCCAGAATCTGATTCAACATCACACGTTAGTTGTCAAATTTCTTCATTTGCCTTTCATCTGAAACAGTTCTATCTTTCTTTGTCTTTTCTGACCTTGATATTGTTGAAGAGAAGAGGCCAGATATTTGGCAGAATGTTCTTCAGTTTCAGTTTGACCGATGTTTTCTCATGCATAGATTCATGATTTTTTAAATGTCTCTTTGTTTATGGCTTTTTGGCAGAAATACCATAAGAGGAATGTTATGTCCTTCTCATTCATCAAAGGAACAGGTACATAACATGTATTTTAACCATCAAGGGTGAGGTTAACTTTGATCACTCAGTTAAGGTGGTGGTGTATGCCAAGTTTATCCTCTGTAAAGTTACTATTTTTCCTTTCCAATTAATAAGAGTTTTGTGAGAAAATATTTTGAGACTTGTCATACCAAGTTCCTCATTAAACTACTAGCATCAATTGAAGATTTTGCACAAATCATTTATTACCATGATGGTTGCCAAGTGGTGATTTCTCAACTCCATCAGTCCTTCTACATATATTAGCTGGCATTCTACTACAAAGAAGAGTTTTTTTTTTCTTCCTCTCTATTTATTTATTCATTCATACATTCATTCATTCATCCATTCCTTCAGAATGGTCTATAGATTCTTATTTTATTCACCAGATTATCATGTTACTATTATTATTCATTTTGATGCTAAAATTGTCCCACATTTAGCCAGTGGGAGTCCCTCTAAACTGACTCTTCTCTCCTTTTGATTGTCCCCACCATTTTCCAAGCATTTCCTGTGCTCTGTCACTACAAGATATTAGAGATATCTATAGATATAGGTATATATAGATATGCAGATATAGCTATATAGATTTCTTTCCATTTCTGTCTATAGGTAGATACAGATATAGATATATGTAGAAATAGATATAGTAAAACCCCAACTTTATACTGACACATCAAATTCCAATCAATACAATAGAGTACATGCTCAAATTCCCCTTTCCGCATCTGTACCGCCCTTCTCAAAACAGTGAGAAACCTGATTCCAGGTACCCTCAAAATATTGACTTACTTGTTCATACTAAAAGACCGCAAAAGCAGTTACAGAATATCTAACTCATGTCACTGCGAAAAACAAACCTGTTAAGTTCAGTATTTGTTTTCAGGGTTTTTTTTCTTTAGTTTTAATGTATTTGGTCAAAATACTGTGTTCCCAAATGACTTAGGTCTGTTTCCTCCCTCCTCTCCTCCCTCACTTGTTTAGAGTGCTTATGCTACTCACTTTACTCATTTGAAAAACAGTCTGGTTCATTCTGTTCCCATTTGTATCTCATATTAATCTTTTTGCTTCATCCTTGTCTATTTCTTCTTTGTCTCTCTTATTTTGTAATTGTATTTTTCCCTTTTTTGTTCGATTAATTTAGCTAGTGATTTATATATTTTGTTACCTTTTTCAAAGAACCAGGATTTTTATTTGTTCCTCGGACCTACTGTTTTCTATTCCTAACCTTCATTTTTTTTCTGCTTTTACTTTTATTATTTTCTTCCTTGTGTTTTCTTTTGGCTCATTTGTTGTTCTTTCACTTTTTAAGTTGCTATAATTTGGCCATTTTCATTCTTTTATTTTTATTGATGTGTTTAAGACTATGAATTTTCCTCTGATATCTACTTTAAATATATCCAATAGTCTCTGAATATAGCATTTTCATTATTTGTTATTGTTTTGTTTTGTTTTGTTTTGTTTAGATATTCCATAATTTTGACTTGTATTTTTCCTTTCACCCAAGAATTCTTTAAGATTTTAAATTTCTAGTTGGAAGAGCTTTTTGGGTTTTGTTTTTAATTCTAGTTTTATTGCACCATGATAAGACAGTATTGTTTGTAATATTTCCATTGTATAGAACCTACTGATGCTTTCTTTGTGACCTAATATTCAATCAGTTTTTGTGATTATTGCATATGCAGTTAAGAAAGAAGGTGCATTCTCCATTATTAGGTTCTAAGTTCAGTATAGAGCAATGAGATCTACTTTATTGATTATGTTGTTTACTTCTTCAATATCCTTAATTATATTTCTGCCACTTGATCTATTCTACACTGGGAGTGGAGTATTAAAATCTTCTGTTATCATTGTATTTCTATCTGTATCTCCTTGCATCTGTAGTTTCTGCTTTTTAAAGACAGTGATTTGATGCACAGATTTCCATAACTGTTATATCTACATTGTGAAATTGGCATTTAGCACTATAAAATATCCTTTTTTTGTCACATTCAATTATTTTTGGC